ATTAGCTTTACCGAGTGACTCAGACACGCCTCCTCCACCCTGCCCCGCCAGCCTGCAGGAGCCTGGGGCTGGAAACTGCGGGCCCGCGAGGTGCACCAGATCCTCACCCCAGGGCTACGCGGCCGCCCCGGGGGCGGCGCCCCGCCCACTCCGGCCCGTCCCGCCTGCCGCCGCCGGCGTAGGCCGGGCTCTGAGCTCCCGCGGCAGCCCCGTCCTGCCCCGCCCCGTCCCGTCCAGGGCCAATCGCCGGACGCCGCTCCTCCCGCTCCCAGCCAATCGCCGGACGCCGCCCCGCCCCGGCCGTCCCGCCGTCCGTGCGCGGCGGCCTGGAGGCGCCGCCCGCAGACGCTCGGAGCTGCCGACCCGGGAGCTCCCCTAGAGGGCCGGCGGCGGCGCGAGAGTCGGGCGGGGCCGCGGGGCCGGGCCGTGTGGGGCCGGGGGCGGCCGGGCCGCGGATAGCGGGATGGGCTGCACCGTGAGCGCCGAGGACAAGGCGGCGGCCGAGCGCTCCAAGATGATCGACAAGAACCTGCGGGAAGACGGCGAAAAGGCGGCGCGGGAGGTGAAACTGCTGCTGTTGGGTGAGGCCGCGCCCTGTGCCGGGACCCCGCTCCCCGCGCGCATCCCCGACACGGACTTGAATCCCCAGGCTAGGGCTTCCGAATCCCGGCTCGTGGACTTCAACTCCAGCCCGGGACACCCAAATAATGGTTCAGAACTCTGGGTTAGACCTCTGATCTGATTCATACCTGGGCTCTAGGTCAGACCCTCAACTCTTCCGAGGCCCGAGACCTCCAAACCCGGCCACCAGCGCGCCAGCCTCCTCTGCCCAGAGTCTGCTGCCAGTCACCTTTACTAACCGACCCACAGACCCTCAGAGCCCCCGCCGTGCCCGTCCACCCTTCCTTAGACTTTCTAGACGCCAAACCCTCAACCTCCCCCGGCCCCCACCCTCAGTCACCACCTGTTCCCCCACCTGCTCCCCTTTTCCCATTGGGCGAGAGTATCCCCAGGGCCCTGCCAGGCCCCTACCCACTCCTGCCTCCTCGCTCCCAGCACCGTCACTTTTTATGTCCCACACCTGTGCGCCGTGACCCCAAGGGACTTCTCAGGTGGGAACCCACGGCTGCTCATTGGCCTTGGAGACCCTGCCCCCTGCCCCTGGCACAGCGGGCGCCTCTCTACTCCTCCTCTATGAAGTCCTCACCCCCACCCTGGCTTCCAGATGCCCCCGCCCGCCCTGCACCAGGTGGGCCTGGCTGGGAGGAGTGGGGGGGGCGCCCAGACCCCAGGGGGTTGGACCGGGGCTCCACTGGTTATGCTTGCGGGGCAGGCCTCCGGCCCCTGCGAAGGTTCCGCTGGCTGCTCCCCCCGTGTCTCAGCCCCTCTGAGCCTGTGAGGGGGCGTCTGGGCAGTAGGAGGGAGTGCGGAGGAGTGTGGGCTGCGGCTCCTCCGAGGCCAGGGAAGATGGTGGCTGCTGGCGGGGTGGGGGAAGTGGAAGTGGTGAGACGCCGACATGTTGCTGCCCCGGCCGAGGATGGGCCCAGGCGGCCTCAAGGAGCGGGTGGCCCTGCCGGATCTGGAGGTCCTGGGAGGGGGCAGTGGTGGGCCAGAGGGCTGGGGGTGGGAAGTGGGGGGTAGGAGGGGTACACGTCTGAGGTGGACTCCGGCAAAGAATGTGGGCCGTGTCGCTGCCCTGTCCAGCCTTCCCCTGGGAGCAGGTGTGGCACCTGGTGTCAGCCTGGTTTGGAGGGTTTCAGGGTTGGGGGTAGGGCAGCCCTCTTAGCAGTGGCGGTCAGGATCCTGGGCTCTGTATCTCTGTGGGTATCCCACCTACCTCTGGGTTCTGGGTGGGGGCAGACACACCCACCCCGAAACTGTCTTTGAGGAAGTGCTGGCAGCTTCCCCTTCCTGGATCCTGTGGGCTGGGTGTCACAGCCCACTGAGGGGGTCTCTGTTCCCCTCCCTGCTCAGCCTTGTGCGTGCGACAGGAACTCAGGAGAGCTGGACCTGCTTTGTGGCCTGCAGTGAGCCCCAGGGCTACCCTGGCTCTACTGAGCTGCATCTGCCACTTCTCAGTTCCAGCGGGGGTGTGGCTCTCACGTCTGCCAGGTGTCACCTCACTGTCCTTTACGGGGTCTGAGCCAGCGTGCACAGGGCCATGGAGCCACCTCCAGTGCCTGTGAGGCTCTGGCCAGGCAGCCACCCTGCTGCCTCCAACAACATCTCTGCAGAGGACTCATGGGACTCCAAGTGCGACGGAGCAAGAAGCCTGTGATGTCCTTCACTGGCTGACCATGGACTGGTCCTGGCCCCTTCTGGGCCTCAGTTGCCTCAGCTGCAGAGCAGGGGGTTTTTGCAGTTGTGACCCTTGATTTTCTTCCCTTCCCTTCCCCAGACTCCCCTCCCAGTCCCACCTCCCTGTCCCCTCTTCCTGGAGCATCATCCTCAGAGCTCTTCCTCTTCAAGCAGGCCCCGCAAGGCATGTGGCCTCCACCAAGAAGGCTCCCTGACTTGCTCCCTTCTCTGCACACAAACTATGCAAATATTTTTATAATGGCAGCAAGATTAGCTGTTTACACCTTTCCTGGCTCCAGGATAGGGGACCCCTGGAAGGGTGGGGTAGAGTTTATGTGATTCATTCATTCAGTTTGACAAATATTACCTGTAAGCCTCAACAATTATGCTCCAAGGGGTCTGGAATCAGAGACCTGGCTGGGAAACACTCACTGCCCATTAGTTCTCACCTCAGCCAGTATAGTGGTACATATTATTGTGAGGCCCATTTTGAGGCCCACTGATTAGAAAATTGAGGTGCAGGGAGTTTCTGGTACTTGTCCAAAGTCATACACAGCTGGCAGGGTTGCAGATTGCTCCAGAGTCTTGCCGTGAACTACCACCACTCTACCACCTCCACCTCCTGCCCGACCGAAGCCGTGCGTGCCGGCCTTATCCTCAAACTGGGGAGCCATGGAACATTTGTGAGCAAGAGGGTGACGTGATTTCTTTCAGCAGGATCTCCTTGACTACCATATAGAATGGATCAATTTTCTAATCAGTGGGCCTCAAAATGGGCCTCACAGTAATATGTACCACTACACTGGCTGAGGTCAGGACTAAGGAGGGACACGTAGGTAGAATATTCAGAATGCACATGGCACATGGAAACAGGAGAGCCAGGGAGGAGGCTGGGGGCCTGGAGCAAGGGACAGAGGGGGCAGAGAATGGAACACATTTGAGGGAGAGTTGAGCGGAAGAAACACACAGGATGTAGGGGTGGGTGTATGTGGCTCTGGCTGGTGGAGACGCCAGGATCAGGGGGGCCAGTGGAGGTGCCCAAGTGTCTGGGGGAGGCTTCAGAGCAGTGATGGACACGGGGCTGGCAACTGGGGCAAAAGCGGGCTGGAGATGACAGTGTGACGGTCTGAGCCCCTGGAGTGGGAGGTGTGACTGGAGTAGCAAGCAGGGGCCTAGCCATAGCCTTGGCCTCATCCTGCCCCACCTCCATCGACTGGGGTCTGTGTCTGCCCACCTCTGGTGAGACTGGCCTCCAAGGGGCTGACAGGTTCTCCCTGTTGCCCGGCAACAGCAAGAGCTGTTGGCTGTTGCTAGGAGCAGGCTGGGGAGGCCCAGGGAGGGAGGATCAGCATGAAGCACTGGGAGGGGTCGGGTGGGGGGAGAGGCCTGTCCTGGGTTTGTTGTCTGCATGGACAGGCTGTGTGCCCCAGTATTTAAGTGCATTCTGTGGATATGAGGCATGTTGGAGGCTGGGCCTCTGTGTGGATGTACTGTGTCCCTGGCTGGGCATTCTGTGCTTTCACTATGCTTGCTGCATGCTTGTAGCAGGGCCTGTCTGAACTTCGGCTCCAGGTAGGAGTGAGACTTGGGGGAACCAATGGAGGACTTACAGGCCAATGGCTCCTCTACAGGGAGCCAGCCATTCAGATACTGACACACAGACACTCCAGGGAGAGCAGATGGCCTGAGGACTGGGAGCTGAAAAAAGATGTGTGCCAGGGTGTTGAGTTGTCTGTGCTGAACAGGGTGCTGTGCATGAGTGTGCACTGGTGGTGGTCAGGTCCTTTCCTGGCTTGTGGACCTTCCTTGTCTTTGGGTTGGGCCTCCACGCTCACAGCCTTGGGACCGCACAGGACAGCTTCCTGGGTGTCCCTTGGCAAACCCTTCAAATGTCCACTGGAGGTTGGGGCTATGAGGGAACAAGATCAGAAAGACTGAAATGTCCCACTAGCAGCATGGCTGCCTCCATGCAGTGCAGCCACCGTCCAGCGGGGACAGGCCATAAGATCACGGCCATTTATGTCTCCAGAAGTCTGGTGGCGTTCTCTCCCTCTCGTCGCTCTCTGCTGGGATACAGTCGCAGGTATCCCAGGCTGGACCCAGGATGGCTCTCCTGCAAGAGGATGCCTCCTACATAGAAAAGGATGCATAAGCCTTGGATGACTAGAGGAGGCACCCCGGTGAGGGAGACAACCTGAGTAAAGCAGTAGAGGTGGCGATCGTCTTGTATTTTTAACTGCAACCCAGAGAGAGAAGGGACCAAACCCGTTTTAAGTTGGAGAAAGCCGAAGTTAGGCTTCGGGCTCCATAGATCCCGTAACAAGTTTAGGGTTCATTAGCTTTACCGAGTGACTCAGACACGCCTCCTCCACCCTGCCCCGCCAGCCTGCAGGAGCCTGGGGCTGGAAACTGCGGGCCCGCGAGGTGCACCAGATCCTCACCCCAGGGCTACGCGGCCGCCCCGGGGGCGGCGCCCCGCCCACTCCGGCCCGTCCCGCCTGCCGCCGCCGGCGTAGGCCGGGCTCTGAGCTCCCGCGGCAGCCCCGTCCTGCCCCGCCCCGTCCCGTCCAGGGCCAATCGCCGGACGCCGCTCCTCCCGCTCCCAGCCAATCGCCGGACGCCGCCCCGCCCCGGCCGTCCCGCCGTCCGTGCGCGGCGGCCTGGAGGCGCCGCCCGCAGACGCTCGGAGCTGCCGACCCGGGAGCTCCCTTAGAGGGCCGGCGGCGGCGCGAGAGTCGGGCGGGGCCGCGGGGCCGGGCCGTGTGGGGCCGGGGGCGGCCGGGCCGCGGATAGCGGGATGGGCTGCACCGTGAGCGCCGAGGACAAGGCGGCGGCCGAGCGCTCCAAGATGATCGACAAGAACCTGCGGGAAGACGGCGAAAAGGCGGCGCGGGAGGTGAAACTGCTGCTGTTGGGTGAGGCCGCGCCCTGTGCCGGGACCCCGCTCCCCGCGCGCATCCCCGACACGGACTTGAATCCCCAGGCTAGGGCTTCCGAATCCCGGCTCGTGGACTTCAACTCCAGCCCGGGACACCCAAATAATGGTTCAGAACTCTGGGTTAGACCTCTGATCTGATTCATACCTGGGCTCTAGGTCAGACCCTCAACTCTTCCGAGGCCCGAGACCTCCAAACCCGGCCACCAGCGCGCCAGCCTCCTCTGCCCAGAGTCTGCTGCCAGTCACCTTTACTAACCGACCCACAGACCCTCAGAGCCCCCGCCGTGCCCGTCCACCCTTCCTTAGACTTTCTAGACGCCAAACCCTCAACCTCCCCCGGCCCCCACCCTCAGTCACCACCTGTTCCCCCACCTGCTCCCCTTTTCCCATTGGGCGAGAGTATCCCCAGGGCCCTGCCAGGCCCCTACCCACTCCTGCCTCCTCGCTCCCAGCACCGTCACTTTTTATGTCCCACACCTGTGCGCCGTGACCCCAAGGGACTTCTCAGGTGGGAACCCACGGCTGCTCATTGGCCTTGGAGACCCTGCCCCCTGCCCCTGGCACAGCGGGCGCCTCTCTACTCCTCCTCTATGAAGTCCTCACCCTCACCCTGGCTTCCAGATGCCCCCGCCCGCCCTGCACCAGGTGGGCCTGGCTGGGAGGAGTGGGGGGGGCGCCCAGACCCCAGGGGGTTGGACCGGGGCTCCACTGGTTATGCTTGCGGGGCAGGCCTCCGGCCCCTGCGAAGGTTCCGCTGGCTGCTCCCCCCGTGTCTCAGCCCCTCTGAGCCTGTGAGGGGGCGTCTGGGCAGTAGGAGGGAGTGCGGAGGAGTGTGGGCTGCGGCTCCTCCGAGGCCAGGGAAGATGGTGGCTGCTGGCGGGGTGGGGGAAGTGGAAGTGGTGAGACGCCGACATGTTGCTGCCCCGGCCGAGGATGGGCCCAGGCGGCCTCAAGGAGCGGGTGGCCCTGCCGGATCTGGAGGTCCTGGGAGGGGGCAGTGGTGGGCCAGAGGGCTGGGGGTGGGAAGTGGGGGGTAGGAGGGGTACACGTCTGAGGTGGACTCCGGCAAAGAATGTGGGCCGTGTCGCTGCCCTGTCCAGCCTTCCCCTGGGAGCAGGTGTGGCACCTGGTGTCAGCCTGGTTTGGAGGGTTTCAGGGTTGGGGGTAGGGCAGCCCTCTTAGCAGTGTTGCAGGCTGACCAGTGTGTGCGGGGGGTGTGGTTCCTCCGCCCCCGAGCTGCTATGGGGGTCTCCAGGCTGTGGGGAGTGGGGCTTCTTGTGCTGGGCGTTGGGCCAGGGGACAGAGGGCCCTCCTCACGGCCCATCTGTTGACTGTCCCTGGGGGCCTGGCCTCGGGGGCACTGCCTTAGAGGTTTCAAAATGGCATCCACCCCGCTGCCGCCGGGTAGGAAGGGAAGGGGCGGGGAGGGGCGGCGGCTGGGCTCCCGGGCTGTTTTGCGTTGGGCGCTTGCCTCTTCCTGTCTCTGCTGGGTGGCACGGCCAGCAGTCAGTGGGTGTCGGCACGGTGCAGGGCCCGTGGCTGTTGCCTGCGGGCCCTGGGAAGGGGCTTCCCTGGGGCTGTCTCCCCCGTGCACGGCCAGGGCTTGACCAGCCCCTTCCCTGGCCCACGGCAGTTACAGTGGCGGCTGGGGAGATGAGGCTGAGCCACGGGACCAGGGGACAAGGGCTCCCGGCCTATGTCCCAACCCCAGACCACCAGTCTTGCTCCTGGGATCCCACCTTGGGTTTTGGGCCTGGCAACCCCCCCCCACTGGGCTGGCAGCCACTAGGGGTGCTGGTCCAGTCCAGCACCTTTCAGACTGGGGAATCCATCTCAACACCCTGCCCCGCTGGCATTTGCTTCCTATGTTAAGTGGGCTTCCTGGATTTGGACAAGCGGGTTGGTGGCTCGGATGGGGAGAATGGGGGCCTCATGGACGTTCCTGTGGGGTGTGCGGTGGGCTGAGACCCTGCAGAGGGCCCCCCGCAGGGGCTGGGGGTCTTGATCTGCCTGGCTGCCTGGGGAGGGCTCCTGGCTGGCCATCCCTTTGGATCCAGGTACAGGGAGGTGGCAGGAGCGCAGCTGGGGCAGACCCCGAGGGCTGGGCGCCTGTCCCACATAGCGGGAAGGACTCAGTCCAGGCAACGGGACTCCGCTGGGCAGTTGCCAGCCTTCGTCCCAGCCAGAACCACGCCCGCTGCCCCACCCGGCTCCTTGCTGTCTTGGGCTGCCCTGCTGCTGGTGGCCCTGTGGCTGTCACCAGGGGAGAGGCAAATGTGGTCCTTACCGGCGAGAGGGCTTTTTCTGGCAGCTTAGTGAGGGAGCTGCAGTGCTGATAGCCCTGCTCTGGGGACACCCTCCCCCCCACTTCAGGTTGACTAAGCGGCTATCCCCAGGTAGAGGCTGGGGCTTTGGGCTGGGCAGAGCGCGGAGGAGGCCAGAGTGTATGTTTGGGGAACAGCTCTGATTCGAGATGCGCTTGTGTGGGCAGCCAGCAGAGGAAGGAGCCAGTGCCCACGGTGGGCTCCATGAGGGCTTCAGGGGTATAAACACAGCAATTCTCCCTTGCCCTTGGACCCACTTCTGTTGTGGGCTTGGCAAACACTTCCATTTCCATCCAACCCGTTCGTACTTGCTCGGGGATCCCTCCCAGCACCCTTCTGTGACAGCCCGCCTTCACCAACGCTGGTGAAGCACCTCTGCCTGGGTCTGGGGCCTGCTTGGGGCAATGGGCAGGGCTGCTTCCTGCTCATTTCTGAGCCTCCTGTGCCAAGCATGGAGTCTGCCACCTGTTGGGCGCTTCGTGTCCTGCACAGGAGGAAGGTGGCACTAGTGGTGTGACCCTGCTTGCTACTCTGGGGTGGGTGGGTGGAGGCCAAAGGTGGCAGTCGCTGAGCCACAGCCTGGCGTGGCCCGGGCAGGTGGCAGAGCTCTGTAGGGTCAGCACCCAGCGTTGGTGGACACTGAGAGCACAGTCTTCTGGGTCTTTCCTCCTGGTCTCACGAAAGGCTATGCTGGGCCTGCAGAGACAGCCCTGATGCCACTGTGCGAAGAAGCCCTGCTGCGCCGCCCGTGGCCCGTCCCAGGGCCCCGTGCATGGGAGCGGCCCCGGCTGTCCTATGGGACTGTGCCTCCACATCCTTCTCAGCTCGGGCCATCTGCGGGCTGCTGGAGGCTGCTGCCTCTGTTGCCAATCTAGCCTAGCTCCCGGGGCTGGGGCTGCCCCTGGCCATGGGGCTCAGCCCAGGGCAACGTCAGGAGTGCTTGGCATGGCCTGTGCAGGGCCTGCACATGTGTGTGGGCTCAATTGGGGCTCCCACAGAGGGGGAAGAGAGTTTCGTGGCCTTCGCCCTGTTTCTCTAGTGCAGGGCCTGGTGTACTGTAGGTGCCTATGAAGTGTGTTTGGGAGGAACAAAGCCATGGAACACATCTGTGAACAGAGAGGAGTATTTCGGGGGCTGCTGTTTGCGGCTGGTCTAGCTGGAGGTGGTGGAAGGGCTAGCTAGCCTGGGGGCCTGGCTGGATGGATAATGAGGATGATGTAGTGGGGCCTTTGAGTGGGAAGGCTTCCTGGAGGAGGGTTCCCTAGGTGGTCTTGAAAGATTAGCAGCCTTTTCGAAGGCCGAGTATTGTGGGCAGAGGGCCCGACTCAGCAAGGGCTCTGAGGTAGGAAGGCCTGGCCTAGCCTGGAGGAGGAGGGTTCATTCTTCTCAGACCAGGTCTTGGGGTCACACGGATCTGAGTTCAAATGCCAGCTCCACCTAGCCTACTGGCTGAGAATCTCTGTCTCCATCCGTAACCTGGGGACAGAGTGCCTGCCTGCAGCCTCAAGAGTTGTGGGTTCAGTGTGCCTGAGCTGGCGCAGGTGGGAGAAGCCCCCCACACCCTGCAGAGCCCAGTTTGGAGGAGAGGGACCTTCCGGCCTAGAGGTTTGTCTGGCTCATAGTGCCCTGTGGCAGCAGCTCCCAGAAGTGGGGAGGTCTCCGCTGGAATGACAGCCTGCCCTGGGGACTGGAGGCCCAGCTGTTGGGGTGCTGAGCCATCTTCCTGGGACCTAGGTTGGGGGTGTGGCAAGGCCCTGGGCCGGCAGCCTCCATCCTCGCCGTTCTCTCAGCGGCCTCCGCCAGTCGCTCCGGAGCTCATTAGCACTTGAATGGGGGGCGGGGCAGCCTGGGCCTGGTGTGGCTCCCTTCCCACCCCTCCCCCAGGCCGGGCCGCGCTTTGTCTCCGAGAGGCCCGCGGGAGCTCCCACGGTGGGGAGTGAGCAGGGGTCTCAGACGCCGCTGCCCCCTGTGCCTGTGTCCTGCTCCTGCCCACTGGGCTTTCCCCACCCGGAACCTCATGTTGGTGTTACCCGAGGGTAGCAGTGAGACTGGCTCCCTCGAGGGGCCCCCCTGAGCGGGGAGACCGGGTGAATCCAGGCAGTGCAGCAAAGAAAATGATGCTGATCTCAGCTGAGGGAGTCCCGGGAGGGGCAAGGTGGAGAATCCCAGGGTGAGCGCAGAGCAGGCGGTAGGGGCAGAGGGAGCCGGCTGCGTGTGGCTGAGGTGGACGGCCAGCCAGCTGGGGAGCAGCGGGTCCCTGCCAGGCCCTGAGGCAGCGTCCCGCCTGCCACTGTGCTTGTGCTGGAGCCCGGGCTGCCCGATGGGGGCTGGCGTTGCCCGGGACCCCTTGGCACTTGTGTTGCACAGCCTGCAAGGTCAGCCCTCGGCCGCCTGGAGCTGCAGGGTCACAGGGTAACATCACTGATGTCCTAGGCAAGAGACGCTGGTGACGCTGGGGGTGGGGCCTGGTCACATCCTGTGGGGTCCCTAGGCCGCCAGCGCTGCACACACTTGGGGTGGCTGGGGCCACGGGGGGCGCACGGGTCCTGTACAGCCTGCCCTCATCTCAGCCCCTGGCCACCTCTCTCTTGGTCTCTGTCTCTAAAAGCTGGCCTGTCATTTTGGCAGGAACAGGATGGAGGAATCTTTGTCC